TGTATATATATGTATGTATATGTATATATATGTATGTATGTATATGTAAAGTGCAAGAAGTAAAAAGTTGTTACAGTTGTTATAAATACCTAATCAGATAAAGTGTGCCTCCTGAATAAAATTTATTTACTCGGGTGGATGAGAAGTATAAATACATACCATTCTGAGACCCCATTGGTTTGTACTTGATCCATCACTCCTGTATGACACAAATCACGTCACACTTCAGCAGGACATATCAGACATACATAGACTAGGATGAAGGTGACTATGGTAGAAATATGTGTTCAGCCAAATTAAGTAGACTGGAGAATCCCCAATGTTTCATCAACATTTTAATGTAATATAGTCACAATGGCATTTAGATAAACATTTTTTGGAGAGGCCACCTCCCAATACATGCCATTTTGTACAGTCTAACAGGTCACTTTTATTCAATTATTTTACTTACATTTTATATCCGAAAATTACTTTGATACTTAAGTACAATAACTGTCAGATACTTGAAGATTTTTACTGAAGTAATATCCTTAGAGGAGACTTTAACTTTTACCAAAGTTATTTTATGGGAAGTACTTTCAACTTTTGACTTTTAGTCAAGTATTGATTTGAGGTGCTTTATACAACACTGGTATTTGCAAAGATGTAAAGCAGTTTATTAAAATTGTAAAGACATATATGTAGACAGTTAATGCAGGAAAAAAAAGAAGAGCATTTGGAGGATGATAGAAAAGAAAAGGCTGCTCATGTTGGAATAAGTGAAAGAAGCAGTCAGTGTTTCCAGTGTATCTCATTCTCTTCCCCCAGTAATCCACAGGTGAAACATTGCTGGCAGATTCTGTTTGCAAACCCGGTGATTTACACTTTGTCCCAAGGTTTTTGCTCTTAGGATTAGAAGAGCTTGTGTATGAGCAAGTGGTTTGTCTCCCTTCGGTGCACAGTTTGGGTTGGGTTGTCTGTGCATCTGCAAGTGTATACATATGCATGTGTTTCAGAGAGTGTTGCTGAGCTATAGTGGGTCGGAGCAGCCCACATAGCCTATAATCCAGTCCATGTGTGCCGAGAATGCAGCCGTGTCAGGATTCACTGTAATGAAACAGACCACACTGCCCCCTTTCTCCCTCTCGTTCCTTACTTTTCCACCACTCCTGTTTTTTCCACCTTTCTTAACCTTTTTTAACTCTAAGTCACATAACCCAAGATAAGCTCCTCGTTCAGTATTTCAATCAGATATTGCGATGTGGGGTGTGTATTACACGCTTGTGCATGCATAATTGTGTTTTAGTAATTTTTATTCCAATCTAATAGAATAAGCCAGGCACATTAGGCTTTGGTGCAGAGTAGTGTCGTGGCTCACGTTGTCAGCGCTGCTCATCTATCCACTCCTGTTATTCTGGCAGCACACAACGTGAACGCAGCTAACGTTTATTAGCTATCCTCTGTAGCAGAACAGATGGGAGCCATTCCGTGGTGTGTAGCTACAGCACAATAAGTCCATACCTAATCCCCATATCCTGTCCCTGAGTGAGCCCTCTAATATGAGCAAACAGAGATGACAGTGCAGATAGACAAATAGCTGTGTGTCTGCATGCATGTGTGTATGAAGGATTTGATGGCTGTCTCTGAAAAAAAACATTTAGTCCCAGCTCACTCTTGCCATTAGAATTCAGAGTACCAAGTCTAAACCATCCAGGTGTTGATTTGTATTCATTATTTGTGGTTCTGTCTTAGTGAATACCAAACTTGATTTGCTCACTGAGGTTGTGTATGTCCTGATGTTGATTACTGAGGTTTTGTTTACCCTCTGGCTTCCATAGGACCCCCCTTAATGAAATAAGAATGYCCTTTTTGGGGGGTTGGAGGAAAAAAAAGGGAAGGAGGACATAGCGCCAAAAAAATAGCAGAGTTKGGGAAAGAGATTTTCTGGAAACATTTTGTTTTTGTCCCACCCTGGAGTTATTTGTACTGTGTAAGGCAAAAAGAARCTGAGTGGCTTACCATGCGGGGACAAAAATATGTTTGTGTACACGTGCGTGTGCACGCAGAAATGCATGTGTGTGCAAGCAGGAGAAAGAAAGGTCTCGTTCAGGTTAAAACAAGTCAAAATATTACTTTGGTTTGCCCACGCAGGCCGTATTGTATATGTCAATGTGGATCCAACTCTTGTGTATATACAGAACAGAACATTGCAAAACTCTACAGTGAACTGAAACATGGCAGCCAATTTTTGACCCCATTTATTATTCTAAATTACAGTTAATTTAAAGTGTCACTAAAATGTTTGTTTTTGYATTCGATTTGATGCTTTCTAATTGTTTCAAGCTCCCTCACAACCATGGATGAACTCAAAACTGACCTCTGTGAAACTCGTGAATCAGGATGTCAGAATAAAAGCAGAAACCAGCAGGAAAATCTGAATTTATGACCGTGCACAATCAAAAACAATTTGTGAAACCCACAAGCACCATCATGTTTCCATCGCTTTATTGAGCATTGCATTGAGGTGAAATAATGTTCTTGATCATATTCAAGCATGTTCTTATCTAAACCTGAATATAAATGTAACAGCATGTGAAGCCTTTGGACAAAACTGTTTAGAAGTAACACAATGAGGATTTTTGCCCGAGTGAGGATGAGAGGTTCTCACATTGTAGCTGTGCAAACAAGCTTTATACAATACCCAAATAATGACAAAATTACCGCATGCAAGCTTTAACTTTGTCACAGATGTATTTAAAGTATGAAATTAATTTATCATGGCATCAATTTTCTCAATAACGTCTGTATTAGCCCGCTTGAATCATTAAAAAAGTTTCTGTTATCAAACAGGCCTCAGAATGGTTGTTTTTTATTTTCCTTTTTTTTTAATTTGATAATTTATTTTTTGTAAACTTACACTGAACTCATGAGCATCTAACATAACAATATGAAAGATTATCTAAACAGTCTTTCTAAGATGCTTTATAAGATGTTTAGACATTCATTTTTTCTACAGTAAACAAGAACAATTTGGTATGAACTTATTCATGGCCAAGAATATGAAGGTTTGATTGTGTTGTTTTTTGTAGTCTAATCTTGTCAATATTTCTTCAGACAATAAACAACACCTAAACTTTAAACATCAGACAGAGTTCTAACTGCCATTTGCAATATCGAATTGAATGTTGATTTCCAAAGAACATCAGCAACATTTGAAGTTGCAGTGCTCGCTCTTCCACTTCTTCTGCACCCTGTCTCGGGTAAAATCTCACGTATAAATAGTAATTACCCCAAACACGAATTACTGCAAGCTGATAGAACATGTTTTATAAGTTGCCTGCAGGCAACTTATAAAACTTCTTATAAACATAAGTCAGTAAGTGTTAAATAATGAACGCACTGGTCTAATTCTGGATTTAGTAAACGGTCGAGGGTCAATACAAGCCAGTCAGTGGCTCTTTGTGTGAAAAGTTGTGGCATCAAAACTGAGTGGGAGCATTTAACTTAAATCTTCTTTTTGTGTGTTTTTGAAAGTGTTGTCAGTTACTTCACACTGTTTTAAATTATTCTATCAACTTGAAGTTGTTTAGATTTTTGTTTGGTTGTAGCCAGAACACCAAAACATGCACATTTTATTATTTTGTTTCAATGGGTGGTTGTATGGCTATTGGGATGTTCTAACACAAAGCGGTCTTGTGCCATGTGTCTTTGGTAATCAGTGAACCATGACTTAAAGGTCAGAGGAGGCGTCTGGCCGAGGCCATCCTTTAACTCTCTGTCAGCATCATCAGTCCCTAAAGTCAAAGGTTGTTCCACCAGTTGCACATGAATGAAGAGAAGTCATTAACTCGGCAACACCTGAGGACTGACCCTTGACAATGCGGCACGTTGGATCTATTTCAGTTTGTTTTGGCAAAAGGCCTTTATCTGTTTCACTGACTCACAG